TGTTTGTGAATTCTCGGATCGACCGCGAGGAGCTGTGCGGGCGGAGCCTGGAGTGCAGCATCCACCTGGAGGTGATCGTGGAGAGGCCGCTGCAGGTTTTCCATGTGGATGTGGAGGTGAAGGACATTAATGACAACCCGCCAAGGTTCTTCCGACAAGAACAAAGATTATTTATTTTAGAGTCAAGAATAGCTGATTCCCGATTTCCGCTAGAGGGCGCATCTGATATGGATATCGGAGCAAATGCAGAATTGAGATACAAGTTAAATTCTAATGAATATTTTGATTTGGATGTTAAAACAAATGAAGAAGAAACAAACTTTTTAGAGCTAGTATTGAAGAAGCCAGTAGATAGAGAAGAAACCCAAGAACATCGTTTATTATTGATTGCAGTTGATGGAGGAAAACCTGAACTAACAGGTACAGTTCAGTTATTCATCAATGTATTGGATGCAAATGATAATGCCCCGGAATTTGATAAATCAATTTACAATGTTAAATTACTGGAAAATACACCGAATGGGACGTTAGTTATTAAATTGAACGCTTCAGATGCAGATGAGGGCATTAATAAGGAAATAGTGTACCTCTTCAGTAATCTTGTTCTTGACAACGTAAAATCTAAATTTACAATCAATCCGAATAGTGGGGAAATAACAGTTAAGGGAGAACTGGATTACGAAGAGTGTAATTTATATGAAATTAATGTTGATGCTGTAGATAAAAGTGCATTCCCATTAAATGGACACTGCAAAGTAATTGTGAAACTCTTGGATGAGAATGATAATACTCCAGAGATGGCCATAACCTCTCTATCTCTGCCTGTCCAAGAGGATGCTCAAGTGGGTACTGTCATTGCCCTGATCAGTCTGTCTGACCGCGATTCTGGTGCCAACGGGCAGGTGACCTGTACCCTGTCACCCCACGTTCCCTTCAAGCTGGTGTCCACTTTCAAGAATTACTATTCGCTGGTGCTGGACAGCTCCCTGGATCGCGAGAGCGTGTCGCACTATTCTGTAGTAGTGACCGCGCGGGACGGGGGCTCGCCTTCACTATCGGCCAC